GGAGCTGGAACCGGTTCTAAACAGCACTGTAGATTTGTGGAACCTCTTCTATAGAAGAGGTTAGAACTGGCAGGAACCCACCCCTGAGAGCAGTGTTCCAATATCTAAGAGGCTGCCACAAAGAAAACAGGGTCAACCTATTCTCCAAAGCACCTGAAGGCAGAACAAGAAACAATGGATGGAAACTTATCAAAGAGAGAAGCAATTTAGAGCTAAGCAGAAATTTCCTGACAGTGAGAACAATTAATCAGTAGAGCAACTTGCCTCCAGAAATTGTGGGTGCTCCGGCACTCCAGGTTTTAAAGAAAAAAATTGGACAACCATTTGTCTGAAATGGTATAAGGTTTCCTGCTTGAGCACAAGATTGGACTAGAAGAATTCCAAGGTCACTTCAAACTGTTACGATTGCAAGAGTATAAAAAAGACTTCCTATATTGGCTGACATAAATTCTGTATGTGAATGTAGTTTACATCTTCATCTGACTTTCGTATGTTTGATGATAGTATTGAAACAACTGTATCCGTCATCAGATGTTGGCGATCCTACTTTTATCAACAGCTGCACAAAAAAATGCTGTTGACTTTTTTCCAAACCAGTCCCTTAGATATTGAGGCCATGATGTTCTTCTTCTGCATAGACCTCGTTTGCCTTCAATTGTTCCTTGGAAGATTAAATGACATATGTCGTATTTTTCCGGGTGTCACATCACATGTCCAAAATATTCTAACTTTCACTTTTTTATAGTTTTGATGATTTCCCAGGCGGCTAGATATTTGTAACAATCCAAAGTCATCTCGAAATGATGACAAATGTACAGAATGGAAATTATATTACCATTGCCTTTTTAAGAATTACTCTTTAGTTTAACAAATGCTTGATAATATGAGTGACCTCTGTGTGACTTTAAATTGAGTTCATTCATGCATCTGAATAAGCCATAATCAGGTCTTCTTCATTTTAATTACTATTTGCTAAACCATTTGCTAACTCGTATTATTTTATAAATCATATTTTTCGCTTGAGGTTGGTTCACACATCAGAGGAAGCCAAAAATGACCAAGACATAAATTGTAGGCATAAACTAAGCGTTACAACTATAACAATGTGTAGAATTTTCAACATGACCTCACAGCTCCTAGAAGAAAAGATCATTTCATGAACATTTTTATGCTTAATTTCTAAAAAGTAACAAAAGGGGAACAGTTAGTTTGCAACTGCAGCATATATGTAACTGCAATCTCTTTTATTGAATCTTTTTATTGAAACTGGCTGCTCTATTCAAATTTGACTTAATGATTGCTCACACATTGCCAAACAAAAGCTGGATCTTGCACAAAGAATTGTTCTATTGTGGGAAATGTCTTGAGTTATGTTGTACATGTGTATTTTCAGCAAGAGACCATGAAATGCAGGCAGACCAGTTTGGAGAGGTGGGAAGTAGCATTAGCTATTAAAGGAGCAAACAGTATGAAAGCTTGCCAAGGTTTCAATTTCTTTGGCACTGGTCAATGCTTCAACTGAGAAGGTATTCATGACTGAGATCTAAATGAAATGTTGCATAATGGGGCCAGTGCAACATAAGTGGAAAGAACAAAGATAACTCTGCTGGTACACGAGGGGGGGAAATATGCTAAAATTACTAAAGTAACATAACAAGATTTCTAGGTCTCCAAAATTCTGCCGTGGGATGCCTTCTCCCACCAGGTGTCATCTAGATAACTTTGTTTTTAGATCCCATAATCACTAGCAACCAAAGCATTGGGCTTTGTTCAGGATATGGGATTTAAATCAGAGGTGGTATTCAGCAGGTTCTGACCAATTCTGAAGAACCAGTAGCAGTAGTTTTGAGTAGTTCGGCGAACCAGTAAATACCACCTCTGACTGGCCCCGCCTCCATCTATTCTCTGCCTCCCAAGTCCCAGGTGATTGGGAGGGAATGAGGATTTTGCAGTAACCTTCCCCTTGAGTGGGGTGGGAATGGAGATTTTACAGTAACCTTCCCCTTGAGTGGGGTGGGAATGAGATTTTACAGTATTCTTCCCCTACCATGCCCACCAAGTCATTCCTTGCCACGCCCACCAAGCCACGCCCACAGAACCCATAATAAAAAAAAATATGAATCTCATCACTGATTTAAACCCCTTTTTATCTAGCACTTCTGGTGTTGGAAATGGCTAAGCTGTAGAGCTCAAAAATCAGAAAAGGGGAAAAGGGAGTAAAAATTAAGGAGAAGAATCATTTAAATATTCCAAGCTGTAAACTTTCTAGATGCTATTTGGTGTCGAGTCCTCTCAGCCAGCCAGTTCACAGTTGAAAGCAAACTTTGAAATAACGTTTTAAGTCTGGTCTGACTTATTAGGCTTCGATGCTATCTGCCATGTGATTCTTTTTCTTTTTCTTTCAGATGGGGCATCCTCTTCTCTCATCCAAGGGATTTCACTCCAGTGTGTACTACAGAACTTGGTCGAGCAGCAAAATTAGCACCAGAATTTGCCAAGCGAAATGTTAAATTAATAGCCCTCTCTATTGATGACGTCAATGACCATCGCGCTTGGTGCAAGGTATTGTGGGGAAAAAACAATGACAAAAAGAAAGAGGCAGAATAAGAATTGGAATGTTACTTTCAACGAGACATGGAAAACATTTTGATAGTCTGCATTTAATGATTTGAGGGATTGCTGAAATGGGCAGGATTAATCGTGTATGTAGGCTGGGCAGTCATTTTCAGATTTTCTTTTTTAAAAAGAAAAATAAGGCCATTTTAGAGTACGGTTTACTATCTGAATGTGGAAAGAATATACAATAGTAAATTTGACAACCTCGTGCCAAGTTGTGACAGTGTATTTAGAGAAGGCTTTTAAGGGCACAGAAAAAGAGGTTGAAGACCACAGATTGATAATCCTTTGGCCTTGAGCCTCTTGATGCTCTTCTGTAGTTCTATTATGAAGACACTGAAAACTTAGCAATAGCAATAGCAGTTAGACTTATATACCGCTTATATATAAGCGGTTTACAGAGTCAGCATATTGCCCCCAACAATCCGAGTCCTCATTTTACCCACCTCGGAAGGCTGGAAGGCTGAGTCAACCTTGAGCGATGAGATTTGATCAGCCGAACTGCAGTACTGCAGTCAGCTGAAGTAGCCTGCAGTGCTGCATTTAACCACTGCGCCACCTCGGCTCTCTTCAACATTAGTTTTACATTCATTATAATCTTTACAAATAAAAAATTAACTGTGAGTAAATTGTGTGTAATTTAAGTAAGTTAATTTCAGAAACCATGGTTTCAAGATTATTATTTAATATATATCCTGCAATAGGAAACCTAATGAACGTCAGAGAATTATCTGTAGACAGACCAATATTAATAGGTACTGTATCCCTAAAGAATTTTTTCACTGTTCTGTCTGTGTAGAAATGTGAAAAAAATAAAAGAACAAAACTGTTGCTGAGGTTTCAGGCCCCATACTTCAGGATTATATTTCCTTTAAATATAATGGACCATAATTCCTATCATCATTGTAATTGTATCATAGTTCAGGTGTGAACACTAAAATGTGGGCTGGCTTAACAGGTTTAAGCATACTTAGCAATAGCAATAGCAGTTAGACTTATATACCGCTTCATAGGGCTTTCAGCCCTTTCTAAGTGGTTTACAGAGTCAGCATATTGCCCCCAACAACAATCCGGGTCTTCATTTTACCCACCTTGG